TGTAAAAATATCATCAATGTAGTATCAAGAATTATCAAGCAAAGAAGAGATAACGGGGTTAATACATTTGCGCTTGTAATTTCTCCGTTACATAAAAGCGTAGTTTTCGTAAAAAATCTGCAAAAGGTGGAATGTTGAATCTTCGACGTCCTGTTTAAGCCTAATAGTACGAGTTCCTGTTGGAAATAAGGATGATTACATGACCTACCTGTCGGCATAATATCTCCTGATACCTTTTATTGACAATTTTGAATTTTTACAGATTTTGTTTTTCTTTCTCAGAATAATCTATTAAAATTAAAGCGCTGGAAAAATGGGATCTAATTTTCCCAATTCGTATCAATCATTTTTCTTTGAAATTATTTGTCAAATAAAATATGCAACAAAATTTGTTGCTTGATTTCTTATGAAAAAATTTTTTTGGAAGACATTTCGTTCTTTTCAGTGTTACCTTTCCTAGTATATAAAAAACCATATTTTTTAATGAAAAAGTTATAGGTCAATCATTTTATCTCAAATGCAAAGGTATCATTGTTGCAAGAAATCGTTGCTTACAATGCCTCCCTTTCTCGTTGTATTGATTTAAAAGCATTATTATTTACTTATCCGAGAGTTAAGAGAAACCGGAACAATATGCAACAGTTTTCAACAGTATTTGGTGAAGTAAATTGTTATAAAAATTTATATCACCTAACTTTTTCTTCAGAAATTATAAAATTTTAATTTTATATTAACAAATTTGGTAACACCTTTCTTCATTAATTTATTATATCGAAATCGGTTTTGAATTTATAAGTCAAAAAGAAGAAATTTTGCTTTGAATTTATTTTGTACATTTGTAGTAAATTCTTATCTAATTCATAACTTATGATGAAATTTGAAGATTTAGTGAGAAATAAGTGATGAAAATTGATTTCCTGTTTACTCTTAAATATATTGACAAAAAAATCAATAGTTGTTTGTATCTGAGCGTTATTGCATTACTCATAAAGCGATAGTTTTATTTATAGCAAATTTTTAAGTAAACAAATATCATCGATCTCTTCTCCAAACAAATGAGAAATTATGGTAGTTTTCAACAATCTATTATGATTCGTTTATAAAATTTTTGAATTTAAAAAATAGATGAAAAAGTTCTGGTCAGTTTTTGTAAACATTGTTATTTCATGTCCACGTATTACATGTCCAACGGATCATATTTTCATCCTCAATTAACAGATCTTCAAACTGAACAGATCTGGTTAACCTTCTTATTTCTTGCAAAAATTCACTTTTTTTCTTTTCATCTTTCCATTTCTATTACTATTTCTTCTTGTTCATCCAATTTACTATTCAAAAAAGGTAAGAAAATATCATCGATATTGCGCACTTTTAAGCTTCCGCTTCATTTATTTCCATCGTTATTATCATTCAGCAAAAAATACTACGACATTGTTACAAAATTGGAAATTGTTTCTTAAAAAAAATGCAAAATTATTATTTTGTAAGATTTTTCGTCCATATGTTTTTCCATCCAATTTTATCGGAATTGTTGTAGAAGATCTCTTCTTCCTATGATCAATTAAATTTCTTCTTCGTACTCATTTTAGAATTACTCTTTTGTTCATTTTTTTCTTTGCAAATTTCTTACAGTGTAACAACTTCATGTTGAATTATTTATTGTTTTAGAGTTAGAGAAATTGCAGGAAAAAAAGTAGAAATTCTAATGATTGCTGCAAACTTATTTTTCTAAAATCTCATAAGCAGTTTTTATCCTATATTTTTGAGTTACTGTTGTTTTATATAGGAATCCACTTCATGAAGCAATTCTAATTAACTAATTTCTTATTTACAATTGAAAGCTTTCGGTATGAAAACTCAATTTTACTTACATGAAGATTAATTTTTCATCTTGAAAGCATATTTTGGAGTTTGCGAAATAACAAAAATTGTTGTAGGATAGCTTGATTGTCTATCCTTTAAAAAACCTGTTGTAACCAAATTTTCAAATAATCCTCCTAATTCTTCCATCTGATTCAGTCTGTTATCTTCCACGATCTTTCACGTAATCGAATTTTACGCATTTATCGTTTCAGAAACTTGATTTATTAATTCAAATTATGCAATTTTTTGAAATCACAAATATCGATGTAACAACATTCTGTCCATAATATCATCAAATGGCCCTTAAAGAATCACGAAAAGTAAATCTTCTCTTTTGTCCTAAGAAGATAGGAAGGATTTGAATTGTTGTGGTAATCCTACCCATTCATCCCTTTTTCTTTTCACTATTATATTTGCATAAATAAATTCTTTTATTTATACAGCACGCGTTTTAATTTCGTGACGAGTTTAATTCCGCTCTTTAATTTCACATATTTTGTATTTTTCTTTAGTGTCATATACATATATATATAAACCTTTACTTCTCAATCTATCATTCTTATCAGTCTATCATTCAAATTTTAAGCTTTATTTTTTAGATGAATTCAATGATCGTCGAAAATTTTAAATGTCTTTATATGATACATCTAAATGCATAACATAATGTAAATTTCGAAACTCATGCATCTGAATGAATGAATGAATGTTTTGAAAGTTTAGCAGTTCCATTGGATATTTCTTTATTTAAATTTTATGTGATCAAAGAGATTGTAACATTTTTGTGCTCATGCAAATATTTTGTCAACTAAACTGTCTGTAACTGTTTACTTCACCACTGATGAAAAGTGTTAAATTGAATTAAGTTAATTTTAGTTTAGGACCACAAAAGTGCATCAAATATGACAATGTAATAAAAATGGATTACTTTTATTCTGATGGGCCCATTAAAACTACTGAAGGACATTTACATGTACCAATCCATTGATTCCGTTAAAATGTCAAGAATGGAAGAGGTCAAATTGGTGTAAAGTAAAACTGAGCGATAGTTTTATCATTATCAAAAGAAAAACAAATGACTTTGTAATAATACCTAACAATGAATCTTTTTACCCCAACTCTTTCCTTTTATTTTATTTTTACTTTTTAAAACAAAGCCAATTTACTGTTGTAATTTAAAATTGTGATAAATTTTTTTGTTTATTTAAAATTTTTAAAATAAAATTTTATATTAATTAGCAAAGTAAGAAAAGACATTTAGAGAATAGCAAAAAATTCTAAAATTCAAAAAGCTTCTATAAAATGTTTGGCACTTTTTCTATTATCTTTTTAATTTTACATATTTCAAGTAACAAGTGTGATCGTGATATGGCTGCCGTAAGAATTGATTGGATAGTTTACAACCGGTTTTATTTTCACATTTCTGTAGGAAAAAAAATCGATTTTTGAACATTTAAAATTTTTAGACTTTCGAAGTGTTCTGACTTTCAGCGAATTTAAATTATCAAAGATTTATTTTTATTACTTAAATTTTGAAATATATAATTAATTTCATGAATGAATCAAATAATCAATGCCTTAGTTATAAAGTTTTTTGACAATTGCAAATGCAAGCGAAAATTGATAAAATGAACAATAGAATGCTCTTATCTAATCATTATCAAATTTCCTTTCAACATTTACATATAAAACTTGTTCTCAAATCTTTGTTTCATAATCGAATATAATTGTTTCAGTTTTGCGCCATTCATATAACATCACTATAAATCGGAAGATCGGCCTTGAATAGATACGATTAGTGGTACCTAATCTTACATCGATGATATCGGAATTATTTGATGGGTTTGTCAATATAATGAAAGTACCATTCCTACGAATATTATGTATGATAATGGCATTATTAGAGAAATGAACTAATAATTATGAGAAAGTTACAATCAAAAGGTGAAAAACAAAAAACTTAGCGATAATAAAAATCAAATTTTGCTAACTTTATACTTCTATTCATATCAAAACATTAAATTATCCGTACTTAAAATTTATTCTTTAATTTGACAATAAGTTTTATTGTATTTGTATTGATGTATTTATATGTGTGTGTGTGTGTGTGTGTGTGTGTGTGTGTGTATGTGTGTGTGTGTGTTGGCATGTAAGCTAATGTGTGTAAAATATTGTCAGCAATAATGGCCTGGTGATTATCTGAATTCCAGTTTTTTTCGCTTTATAGCAAAATTTATTTTTGTCTCTGAATAGATTTATATGTGGGTATTTGATCAACAACAAAACAATACACTTCGGATATACACACACACACACACACACACACACACATTACATACATACACACATATATACGTACACATACGCACACAGACACACACAACTATACACATACACACACATATAAAAGTATTATTAATCCAATTTAAACAGCGCTGAATAACTCATACAAAAAATTCCCATACCTATTGTAAGGAAGATGTAATGTAAAATTTTGAATTGAATTGTCAATGCTGTCTGCAAACGAAAACTTTTCTTTTTTTTCAGTTTATGTGAATCATAAACTTGAAAGTTTATGATTCACATCAATGTTTATTTAATCTTTTGTCTTTTCTTACATCTAACATATAATAAGCATTTTCCCATATTAATTAATCATGCGATGTAAGAAGTTGCAATATTTGAAATATATTCCGGATCCGGAATATATTTACCGAATTATTAACTAGGCTTATGTTTTATTTGGAAATATTTTTTATTGATTATGCATTTTAAATCCATTAATATATAAGTAAGCTTCTATTAAGAACTAATTAATCAATCCTTTAATTACGTCTATAAGAGGTGAAAAGTGAGAGATTTAATTTCCAAAGATAATTCAGTCTTTTTTTGAAGAGAGCTAAAGAAAGAAACGATCTTGAAATTATCTGTCTATTTTTTAGGATATTTTTTATTGCTTTTTTCAATATCTTTGATTTCATTAATGAATATGTATAATTCGATAAGTAAGAAAGTAATTATATTATTTAGGTTAATTGATAGAAGTGGAAGGCCTTTTTTTGCTTTATTTTATTCACTTCGTGTTAAATAAATGGCTGTTATGTTCAATAGGCTTTCATACTTCTACCTAAATTCACTAGATGTTAAGATTTAAAGTCGGTACCGAATGGTTGTGGAAATTGTTTAACAACTTTCTCATATATCCATGCATAAATAAATTAGAATATAACTCTGATATTTCTATTTAATTTTGTTAGGATCAGGATCAGTAATGCTTCCTATACTAACGGGCCCTTGAGCCACTGCATAAACTTCTCCGTCTGCACCGAAAAGAGGAGTAGCAATCATACAAGTAAGCTGCCTGTAAACTTTTTCGTCGTTTTAGTTGAAAAATGGGATGAAAGCTCTCATACAATTAAGAAAAGAAACCAATAGATAGTGCTAATTTAGGACTTTTACGTCGGAGGAATTTTAGAAGAAGGCGAAATTGTTGGTCAGATAATTGGCAACTAATAGCGCTGGCGACAATGGAACAAATTCTATGTTTTTACATACACCTTTATCCAATGAATTTCGTATCTGCTAATGCCATGAGAAATTTATTTTTCAAATTGAGGGTGTAGCGAAAAATATTGCTCTTACCGGTTTATGCAAAATTCCGAAAAGCGAAAAAAACATGAAATGATATTTCCAAGAAGTCCAATATTTTGGATGATCAAAGTCACTGTGCATTGGTTGTTACCCCAAGAAAGAGTGCTCTGCAAACATTGCTGGGCATTGGTCAACCAAAAATGGACACCTCTCTTTAAGCAATACTAGTCAGCAAGCTAAAGTCATGAATACAAATATGCGTTATTTAAATTCTGATTTTTTTTATTTCTATTTAAATGTTTTCATTAAAACAATTTTAAAACTAAAGAAAGAGCTATTTAAATTTTTTTTCGAATAAAAATATTTTTAATTATAGGCATCTTACATTAACAATTTTTCTATGGCTGTTCTGACTGAACTTTTTCCTAATTGCTTTCATTTAGTATTTTTAATTGACCACTTTTTTGATCGCTTTTATCAATTCAGAAGTATCTTTATCCAGTTTTGATAGTTGACAGCTATTGAAGAAGTGAATGAAAAACTTTGAACATAAACAAATTAAAATAAATTGGGGTTGTTTAGTGATTGGTCCATTCTATTTATTTCTGACACGATTGGGCTCTTTTTAATTTCGAACTTTGCACTTCAATAAATTTTATTTGTTAACTTAATTACTGTAATTTGTTGTTCCATTTTGTAAAATATGTTTTTTTTGCGCTATGATTGCATTTGTGTTCATTTTAAAATTCACGTTTCTATCTTAACAGTATGTTCAAATACGATAGATGCTGTCTATTCATTAATGATAAATATTTGTTAATATTATCTCAGCCTTTCATTATCCGTTTTCAACTTTTGCATTTGCATGTTTATATTTGGAAATAATTTGTTAAGTTTTTGCAGCACGAAGACTAAAACGAGTGCCACCGAAATTTTCGAATTTCTCAAATAGTTTTTCATCAACAAATAAAGTTGATAACAAAAGAGCGCATTTGGTAGAGCAGCAAGCTCAAATATCACCACCGCCATTATCTGATATTCCATCATTTCAGCTACGGAACCAACAGTTTGTCACTGGAAACGGCGATATTCCCGGTAGGTTGGTTAATTGAAAGATTTTTTATATATAAAAGTAAGAATTTGAAATGATATATCGGAGAAGTTATCCTAAAAACTAGAAGACTTTAATGTTTAAAAGGAAGAAAAAACTTTAAAATTAGCAAAAGCATTAAAGAGATTTAATAAATTTTGTTTTTAATTTAAAACAAAATGACCACTGCAATGAATAAGTTTGTCTTTGTTAGCAAAAGATAGCTAAAGATTATTTGTCAGGCATAATAATACAGCATCAGTGGACAACACCAAAAAACTTATCTTATATTGATAACAATAGCAAAAACAAAAGTGTCATGTCCGCAAAAGTAGAAACAACAATACGACAATGGTCGACACCAATCGAAAAGGTCGTTGAGGGTCAACCACCAAGACCTGTGAGTCATCGATTTAAATTAATTTGCTTCTGTGACAAATTAAATTTAATTTTTGGTTGACGTTAGGAAAAAATCAAGCATATTAAGGACAATATGTTAAGTGAATAATATTAGGAAGTGGGCTGTTAATTTAAGTACATTCGTTTCATTGTATTTATAAATAATTTCGTATTTGTTTGTGAAACAAATTAAAATATTAATTAGTACCATAAAAAAAGAATGCAAATGAAATTATAAAGTTATAATAAATACCTGTCATTAAGGAAAGGGAATAAATATATTTTAGATTATTAGATTTAAAATTTATTTAAATGAAAATTTTCCAAATTAACCGTATAAATCAATGTTTAAATTATTTTGGAATAATTTTATATGACAGCAAAATTGATTTTTTATCAATTATTTGTTATAATATTGAAATCGATTACTTTGGAAATACACTTAATCTTAAATTGCTATTTTACTAACTTATCATGCTTTAATATAGCTATAACTAGTGATTACTCAAGTTATATTTGATAAGATTTTACCAATTAAAAAATATCAAAAATGCACTTAATGTTAATAGAAGTATAATTACATAAAATCCTTTAAAACCAATCAACCATCTGTTCCTGTAGCCAGATGTCTAATGATGGGAAGGAAAAAGCGAGCGTTATCCAAATATCTTCTCATTTTAAATTTTTCTTTATAATAATATAATTTCTTATATGATTATAGTTTCGTTCCCACCGATTGTTCACATCGTTTGTCTTTATTTCTTCTTTTTTTATCTTTTTAATATTTTCAATTTGATATTTTTCTACTATTTTATTCAAAATTCAAGTTTCATGATATAAGTAGTTAAACGATTATGTTAAATTGACCAATAAAATCAGCAATAACTTTATGTAATTTAAATAATTTTAAATATATGATATAATGAAACTTGAATTTTAAACAAATTGAAGTGTCGAAAAAAATTTTGCAAAAAGAAATTCAATTGTGCTTAATTATGAAAATACCATCACAACGTTCCGATATAAATGGAGATCGTGGCGGTATTAAGGAGGAATTTTGAAAACTAATTTTTGTTCAGCCAACTGTAAAATAACTTAGTCATTCAAATTTAAATTTTGATACTGATCAGTTGTGAAAGTTTCTTTCTTCTCTGCAAGCCATTCTCTATCCTTGATCGATAGATATAATTTTATTTTAATGTGTTTTAACCTCATTTTCAATCATTTTATATCGTTCATTGTAATGCCTACCTATTCTACTTTTTTTGCGCAAATAGTAATAGTAGTAAAGGTTGCTTGAAAGCACATTTTGTTTCCAACTTTTTATATCTTAGTTAATTTCCAACCATTTTTTCAAACTTCGGTTTTTCGATTTCATATTACCGACAAGAAGTATACTATTCCAAAAACTTTGCAACTGGCAACACAAAAGTTGCTCATAACATTTGGAAGCAGTTGAAAAGAAAAAAGTTGTGGAACTTTAGTTTGGAAGAGGGCGCAAATATCGCATATATCGGATTTCATTGAAATCTGTTTACCTGTTCAAGCAAAGAAAATAGAGATGTCAACTGATAGAAAAAGCCGTTTATCGCAGAAGAATGTCAAATTATCAAATTCATTAAATTATGCAATGTCCATTGATCAGTGCCGGATCCGTCCATTAGCCCTTTCCTATAACAATTTATTGTAAATAATAATGAGTAGATAGAGCGAAAGGTCGTGTAAGCTTTTCCGCTCTACTCCAGGTGGCCGTATCTTCTTTATTGATGCTTAACATTATGTATGCTATTGATTTATTTGATTTTCCTCGAAATTTCAACACTATTCGATAGATGTCACTTTCATCTACATCAGTAAATATCCTGAACACTCGGATTTTCTAGAAGTCTTCATCTTTCAAATTACTAATTAAGTGTAATGATACACGTTTATTCATAACGTCTCATTCCACCTCGCTATTTATATCGAACAATATTTTTGAAGTATAACTAAAACCAGAGTTTTCCAATCAAAGATAGAAGAAAGTACAAAATACGAGTGTCATTTCCTCGTTCAAATCACGATAAAGAGATCTGCAAGTTTTTGCACTATTATTTCATGCTTTCGCCTTCAGCAAATTATTACCATTATCATCCCTCTACCATCATCATCATTCAGATGCCATATTTTCATCATTTCAACCAAGTAACCGCAGGCAATCGACGAAGTTCATCAAATTCTTGCCGGTTCATAACATTCAATTCCACTTATATAATTTGTCTAAAAAAAAGTTTATTAACTATTCATTGAAACTTATTCGTATTATACATTTCGGCTGTAAATGTTTAGTTAAATTAGGTTTTCTTTTATTTTGATAGGCCCATCAATTCATTTAAATGAATACTCGTTTAAAAAGAACCTGATTCCTTGCAATTAATTATCATTCCAAGTAATCTCCTTGTCTATCTCATATATAATGCTCATTTAAACCTACTGATCATTTTGAATTGAAATCCATTCAAAGTAAATTAATTGTTCACAAGGATAAGTTGCAAAAAGATCTTTAATGAGCATCGATATGTTATCTCAGAAGTTATTGCAGAATTTCAAAATGAATCATTAAAAATATTTTTGCTCTTTTCAGTTTCCACTACATCACAGTTTCAATATGTATATTTTCAACTTTCCTTACCGTTCGTTTCATTTCATTTTATTCCCATCAATCTTTTATATTTTAAGAATCTGGAATAAAAGTTAGAATTTTTTGTTTATCCAAAATTGCCATAAAATTTAGCTAAATTTAGTTTAAATAATGTGGCTTATCAATTTATTTACCTGTTTTGCTGCTTATAATTCACAGTTTTCTATTTAAAATTTCAAAACAAAAGAAGGAAATCATAGTAATAATTTTGTTCGGTTAAAACTAGCCGTAATTAACTTATGCAAATAATAAATTAAAATGGCGTTTAAATTTCTATTTATGAGAAATTTTGATGAAATATTGAATTCTGAATCCTAATTTATTATTATACTCGAAACTTGTTTTTCTTCAGCTTTAAAGAAGTGAACATAAAAGAAATAGTTCAAATTTCAATCTCCCACTACACGTTACCTTTTTCTAAATACCGTAAAAACTAAGAAAAATAAAATTATTTTATTCAGTAATTCCGGAAAACTGAACTTTATTCAATAATTCCAGAAAACGGAAGGAAAATTGCATGAAATTCGATCATTTTGTAATTTTCTATTAAAAATTCATTTTCTTAGAATAAAAGAATATGAGAGAGAGTGGGAAAAAAGTGTATCGTTTATACATTATGATATTGTTGATTATTCGTCTTCTTTCTAGTAATAATAATAATAAGAATTTTCATTCGTATCTTTTTCCTCTTCCTATAATTTATAATCTGCTTAAATTCATATTAGTCTGTTAATTTAAAAAATTAGCTTAAATTTTGATTTATATAGTTATAATCAAGTTTTCAAATTTATAAATTTATGTTAAATTTCATTTATTTAATATTAGTCATTTAATTCGAAAACCATTCTCACATTTTTTTTGTTTGCATATTCAGGCTTTATCATTATTGGCTAAATATCACGCTATTTTTTCATAGCTAATAAATTATATGCTACCTAAATGAGGTGCAATTTCATTTTCCTATCACTGGATAGATAATCCAGTTATCATTATCCTATTTTATTCAACAATATAATAATAATAATAATAATAATAATAATAATAATAATAATAATAATAACATAATAATAAATAATAACTAATAACTAATAATAAATAAATAATAAATAATAAATAATAAACAGGTAAATGATAAATAAATAATAATGAATAAATAATAATATTATTAACAATAATAATTTCGTTAGATAATGCAAAAAAATTTTCGATAAGAGAATTATTTAATAATTATTCATTTAATATTATGAATTTCTTTTTTATTCCACGAAAATACTATAAAACTGAATTTTATTAGATTGGTTTAATTTTAGGATGGAAAATTTTGAAAATTTTATGGTAGCTTTTGCGAGAATTGTAATTAGTTTATTTCAAATTAATTTAGTTCAGATTAGTGAGGAAAGCGGGAAAAGTTAAAAAGGGATTAAATTAATTGCATTAGTATTAGTGTTCAATTATTGATGCGCCAAAATTTTGTCTGCTAACTGTAGCTATTGCTGACACTCAGATTTACATTTATCTTTTGCTTATTCATTGCTTCATTTGTTTACAGATATGAATAAGAATTTATAGGTTTATTTATTTCTGAAATTTGTTTACTTTTGTCATCGATTGTTGTTAATTTAATTAATCAGAAATGAATTTTAATGAAAGTAAGATTTTGAATCAAATATTTATTCTTGATGATCTTCAAAATCACCTAAAATATGATTAAATTTTGATTTGTCTGTTAACTTCAAATAATTTATTATTTTATCAGTTTATCAGAATGGATAGATATTTTGAAATCTGTTTGGTAAATTATTGCTTTCATTTTATTTTTAAATTTTAAATTTTTTAATTTTAAGTTTTTTTTTGCATTTCCTAATTTTTCATCAAATTTAAGAAAATTGAAATTATTCATTATATTTTCTCATTTATGATTTACACAATACTTTTCATTTACTGCGAAAATAAATTTGATTCTAAAATAAGTTATATGTTTTAATATGTTATGATGAAAGAGTGAGGAAAATTAAAGCACTGAAATAATTTCGCTTCTAAATTGAATGACTAAATTAGCTTAATGAATTTTTTATTATAAAAATATATATTTGCTTCATTTGAAAAATTTCAACTTTAATTTTGGTAAATTGTAAAAATACAAATTATCTTCCATTAATTTTTCTTCAACGCAACGTTTTTTTCATTGGTACATGAGAAATAACAAATTTGAACTTTTTCACTTATTATAAATTTCCTTCAATTAAGCAATCTAACAAAATCTTTGCTGCTATTAGTAACCAAACTTTTTATTTCAAATTTCATTTTTCCGTTAATGAATTCAATTCATTTTATTGGTTAATGATAGCTATACATATATGATTTGAATCAAACTTTTGAAA